TCGATTAGACAAAGATCTGTACCTTGGCAAGACGTGGATTTCAAGCGCATATATATTTGTTAGTCGTAAGCATGAGGAGGAGCTCGCTGATGGTGACAAAGTGGTGATGGATATTTCTACCGGCCGACTCCAGCCTCAACCTAAAGGCGAATCCGATGATCCATGGGAGAAGCGTCCCAACGGCCTTTGGATCAAACGATCCGCCAAAAAGCAAGCGAGCGATTCGAGCTCAGCCGTTACCGATATCGATGTTCTTTACGGCGACGACGCTGTAGAGGCTAGAGATGGCTGGGCTATCACTGGCACTCCTTTGCTTCTTAAGACGGGAAGCAAACTGCCCTGCGTGCAGTTGACCATCCGCAGAGGCCCCCATCATGAGCGCAAGAAGCCAGTGCCAAGAATCAACGACAACGGTCGATTTAAGATACTGCAAATCGCCGATTTGCATTTGAGTACTGGCGTTGGAAAATGCCGTGAAGCCGTCCCGGACACATACAACGGTCAAAAGTGTGAGGCGGATCCGAGAACCTTGGATTTCGTCACTAGAGTCCTCGACGACGAAAAACCAGACTTTGTCGTTCTCAGTGGCGACCAAGTCAACGGAGATACGGCACCTGATGCATCAACCGTAAGTTCTATTACCTTACTCCCAATCTCAGCCACTCTCGCTAAAACCTTTCCAAGGCCATTTTCAAGTGGGCACACCTCCTCATTGAGCGCAAACTTCCATACGCCGCCATCTTTGGGAACCATGATGACGAGAAGACAATGTCTCGTGAAGCTCAGATGGCTCTTATGGAGTCTCTCCCATACTCCATGTCTGCTGCTGGACCTGTAGATGTCGACGGTGTGGGCAATTATTACGTCGAGATCCTCGCTCGGGGGAAGTCAGACCATTCAGCATTAACCATTTACTTTTTCGACACCCACGCCTACTCGTCAAATGAACGAAAGTACCCAGGATACGACTGGGTGAAACCAAACCAAATCGAATGGTTCAAGAAGACGGCTACTAGCTTGAAAGCCAACCACGAACGCTACACCCACCATCACATGGATATTTCCTTTATTCACATCCCTATGACGGAGTATGCCAACTATACCTTTCCGCGCCTTGGGAACTGGTTAGAGGGTGTGACGGCTCCAGTGTTCAACTCTGGCTTCCATGATGCTCTCGTAGAACAGGGTATCGTTATGGTCAGTGCCGGCCAGTAAGTTCTCCTCATTCTCTCTCTCTCTCTCTCTTTTGCAACTTTGTCTAGCCCATTGGATGATGTCTAATGTAAAAATTTTCAGTGACCATTGCAACGATTACTGCTCTCTAAGCATGCAGAATGACCAAAATCCTACACCAGCAATGTGGATGTGCTATGCCGGCGGCGCTGGGTTTGGTGGCTATGCAGGATATGGCGACTTTATTCGACGATTGCGAGTCTTCGAAGTAGATATGAACTTGGCCCGTATCAAGACCTGGAAACGTCTTGAATATGGCAACACTGCTTCTCGAGTCGATGAGCAAATCATTATTGACGGTGGCAAACCTGAGCCACTACCCATACCAAATAATCAAGAACAAAACCTCGAGAAGCCACCGGGAGTTGATAAGCCACCGGGAGCTGATAGCCCCCCGGGCAAAGTTGCCCCCCCCGGCTCAGCATAAACTGCTCGGGTTCTGTTTTCTTTGGCCTGTCGATATCTTTTTGCCCAGCAACTCGACTATTCTTAGCATTTTGCTCTTCTCTGGAAAGTTATGACAGCTAGGAGGCAACCCGGCTCTCATCGGGACGTTTTCTCGCACAGGGATGATGTCCTGTTTATTTTTACCATTTTTTTTTTGGGTTGCGTCTCCTTCTTCTTGTATTTCATGTCCCAGGTCAGGGAAGGCGAATGGGTCGAAGCATTACCATAGAATCGGCGCGGTTTGTGGACATCATTGTATGTGTTCCGGGCGAAGTGGCATCGGCCCCCTTTTTTGTATGATACGATAACTGGAGGGAAAATATGACTATTGGCAGTTTGTCATGGTTATGGGAGGGGAGGATGGATATAACGGCGCTTTTCTGTTTTCTAACTTCATTATGGTAACGGAAGCTACCAACGTCAAGTAAGCTCCTTTGTCCTTTGTTGGGATTGTGATGTGTGTTTCCTGAGACCAGCGCTATTCCTATGACTTTTGTTTTATGATGATGTTTTCTGTGAATTGAGGATACATCAAGCTGTTAAATTGTTGGATGATTATATGAAAGAATAGCTGCGTTTAAGGCCTCCCATTCCAAAAATTTAAACTGCAGAACTAAAGCAAAAAAAATAAAATAAAATGAATAAAAAATTTGGTCGATTCTATTCAAGAAGGTGCGGCTAAGCGAATGGTTTTCCTAGAATATGATTGTTATGTGTTGCGATCTGCATATTTTACGATGCCCTGCACAAGTTATATTCTAGGTGTACCTACGTCGAGCGCTTTTTCGTGGAGGACGGATGCACTCTTGTGTTGAGCTCAGCCGTTTTTCTGTTGCCTCGTGGCCTCGTGGCGTTTATTTGTCTTGCTACTATGTAGAAGCCTCGGCCCATACTTTCATTTCAAGATGTCAACATTATCAACTGAAAAGCAACAGATTAGGGCGTGAACTAGAAAAAAAACAAGGGGCAATGAAAGCCTTTGTTATACTAAAACAATTGGATGCCCGCGCACGGCCAAAATTTCCCACTGAGGTTGGGGTGCGTTGGTCACCTGAGAGGTAGCCAGGTCAGGATGCTCGCGTGGACGAACAGCGCCACAAGCTGGGGAGGCTGGTAGTGACGTTACGATGGCAAACGAATGGGCTTGACAAACGAAAAATGTATACGAGAGTCACTCGGTTCCTCGTTGAGTAAACCGCTGTGTGGAATCTGTCAGGAAAGGCATTTGCACCGCCACTGTGGGAGGCGCAGATGAACCCCTGTCCGGCAGTTCACCCAACCGCAGCCCATTCAATCCTTGGTCGTGGAGGCCTTGTCCTGAGGGGCAAATAAATAAAGAGGCGCCCAGGACTTCTTCTCACTTTGAGATCGACGGTCAATTCATATCTCAGTCACCTAACACCAAAAAAAAAGCCTTTACACAGTTCAAAAGGAGACTTATCCAGCAAAGCAACACATTTGAGACTACCAGTACCTCCAAACGACAGCTCAGCCGGTTGTATCAGCCCGCAACCAATTCATGGCTCATCATTCCCACGACATAAAGCCGCTCTGGCTCATCCAACCGCGTCTCCACGCTGGCGAGTACCGTGACAAGTTAATTGGCAGCGTCGTCAAATATCCCGAACTCCCAACCGAGAAGCGCATTCCCTACCGGCACAACAAGCTTCCTCGCGAGCTAGTCAGCGACTTGGATCCCACGCCAGTCCAGGTTCGCAACGTCAAGTTCTGGCAACGTCGAATCAAGGATGCAAGAGTCTCAGCCTCTGTCAATGAGATTCTCGAGGGCTTTGTTGAGCGCGCCAAGCAGGAGAACAGCCAGAATGTGGCCACTGTCGCCCGACTCTGGCACATGGACTCACCAGGGGAGAAGTTCAAGGAGTTGTTGAAGAACAAGCAGTACTTTGAGGAGCTATTTGAGCTGTTGAGAGACAATCATGATGTGGGATACTTCATTACCGACATCGTCACACTGGTCAATCTGGAGAGCAGCAACGAAACGGGAAAATCACATGGCGGAGGAGCCTCAGCCAAGATTCCCGTAGATCCCAACACCGGTCTCCGCGTGGGCGCGGGTGGTCACGTCGGCGTCGTGCGCGAATCCGGCCGGTCGGTGACGTACGAGGAGGAGACGATTGTATTTCTAGGATATCGGCTCGTGCGGCTGGAGAAGGTGGACGGCAAGCGAGCCAAGCTGGGCCGGGTGTTTCTAGGTCAGAAGCACGGGTTCGCCGTTAGAGATGGGTTTGACTACTGGCCGCAGATGGTGGAGAGGCCAGTAGAGGGGAATGCGGAACCGTTTATGGGACCAACGACGCCAAAGACGGAGGAGCCACCGGAAAGGAAGTCGGAAGAGAGCCAGTGGGAGGCGATTGTGGAGGATCTCGGTTTTGATTTGGAAGTGGTTGGATGATAGGGACGAAGTTGTGAGCATGGGAGTTTCTTTGGAGTTTTCAGGATTCCTTCTTGAGTTGGTAATGAGCGATGGGTGGGCTTTGGATGATGATGAATGAACACAAAATAAGTCTTGAATGATATGGGATGTTTTATATATCGCTCTTATTAGCGACTTGTACAAATTATATATAGAGAAAGACTTTGTTAGAGGTCTTATTTTGCGACTTGGAAAATGGACTACAGTACATAGTCTGGATATGCTGGACACAAAAACACTCCATGGACATTGCGTGGATGGTGACTTGAGGCATAACGCTTGTGAGGGAAGAGTACCTAGTCTACTCCAAAACAAATTTCTACTAATGAGAGAAAACAAAATTCCTTTGAGACCTCTAAAATAGATTACCAAGTCTCGACCCGACCGCCTTATGTAATGGCCAGATGAGGCGTCAGCTCCTGATCAGACGAACAGATCCTTCACTTGTATCGCTCACGTCTCCTGAGTACAAAGTTTAAACATAAGTTTCCAGAACAAAGAACGCACAGAAAATGAAAACCTAGAAAAAAAGACTCTCAGCTGAGCACGAGAAGAAGAACTGTGTTGCCGTTGGAGACTAAGGGAATTGAACCCCCAACCGTAAACGTTTCCATGTCATCGAGACACCGCAAAACAAAAATAGCCAAGTTGAACCATGGCGGATTCGGGCCGGCCCCTTGCCTACCTATATATAGAGTGCTCTTGGCAGACGGGAGCTGCAATGTGTGCGAAGGAGGAAGGCGCAACAGAGCCTGCCTCCAAGAGCAGGAGGTACGTACAATTATCGCTGGTTGATAACCTCATCCAGAAACCATCGCTGATCGCGAGTCGACGAACAGACGCGATATTATATATCTCATGATAGCATTCAATCCAGCACATCAAAGGGGATTTGGTCTAGTGGTATGACATCTGTTTTGCATTGTCTCAAATGATAATTACAGAAGGTCGGGGGTTCAATTCCCTCAATCTCCAACTTAGAGCGTTCATTTTCCTGCCGTCGCCACCTTGAATGGGTGGTGATACGAGGAATGTCTGTTTTTTTGTCTTTGTTTTTTTTTACTGGAACCTTCTTTAGGTGAAAGATAATAGAATAGTCATATGATGATTCCATATGGTAGGCAAGGTATTATTGGTATGGGTGGGTGGTGTATTCAATTATTCATCCCCGGTCCATCAACCGGGTTGCCCAATAGCACCTCTCCAAGGAACCCCACATACAATCCTGGTCGGGGCAAAGACTATGGATATGTCAATTGAAAAACGGCGCTGGAAGTTAGTTTCCAGCTCCAGTATGTTGTCGCTCGAAAAACTCGGATGCAAGAAGAATGCCGCCGTGTAAGTGAGAAGTAGAGTATCTTTACCAAAAGATCAAATTCATACGGCGTTCCAAATGGTCATCATCGCTCTATCTTCCATGATTGGGACTTTTATGTATTGGCCATCTCTTTGTCGTCATTGTAAATGCCGTATTCGCTTTCGAGGTGCAGCAATAATTGATAGTAACAAGACAGAGCGAATTTTGTTGCAATTCACATTGCGTTTATATAGAGTCTTCACCACCATATCGTCTCAGCCCTCCATAAAGTCTATACCACCAAGGCTATCTCGTCTTGTTCAACCAGGGTTTCATTAGCAAGGGAGGCTTACTTGACGTTTTAGAATCTTATTCTAGTTCGCATAGGCGTCGTTTTCTCAACTGTTACCTAGCTTGCCATTCAATCCTTGAATGGTGTATCCATAAAAGGATCAAAGGTTGCCTGGCGATTCCCTTCTATCTCTCTATATATTATTATCATTTCCCCTTGACATAAAGTGTACATACAGTATTGCGAGAGGTCTCCATTTGTCTAACAATTACAGCCACACCAATTTTTCACAAACTGCTACGTCAACTACATGGCACATTTCTCGACTACCAACCGTAACCTCCCAAAATTAGCACCTCGAAAGTTGTTCATTGCTTGATTGCCATATACACGAGTTGCGTATTTCTGCGTTGGCTACCCGGTTTAAAGAGCATTACCAGGCGATACCACGTGGAGGTGCAAAGTCTGACTTCACCGCCCAATCTCCAGCAAGTCCATTCTTGGAATGGCAAGATGATGAAGGCGAGCTTATGCCATTGACACATAGGCAATGCCTAGGCGCTCGCCAAGTGCATATAAGCGATGGCCACTTCTCCTTCACGGAAGAGAACGATCTCCCAGTTCAATACGAAATGGGGTGTCACCTGCCAGAGCTAAATGACCTTCCTAAGCCACTGTGGATAGTGACAATTGAGAGATATAAATGTTGGATAATGCCATATAATTATCAGTCTTTCTTATAAGTTCCTATTGCAAGGCAAAACCTTTCATATTCTTCTTCAAAACTACCTAAACAATGGGTGTCCTAGGCTGACCAGAATTGTCCATAGCACCTTCCCAACCTTGGGTTTTGGACCTCAATGGAACTCGGAGCCAATTAAACCAAGGTAAAAATGGTTGACATCACAATCAGTAACTTTTCCCCAGGTGGAAGGAGCATCATTGGAGTGATTGCTCTGGTAGTTAAATTGTAAGAGTTCCTCCTTCTTTTCTCACTCTTCTCTCTTCTCTTACTTTCTTCCTCTTCTCTTCTTCCTCTTCTCATCTTCTTCCTTCTCTAGTCACACTCGAACCGCGAAAGGGTATGTCTCTCTGCTCGCACTCCTAGATTATTCTATACTGTTTACTAATATTGCTTTAGCTCATGGAAACTACCGTTTGTAGCCCTCCTAAATTGCAGTTCAGCTCAGCTGTACTAACGGAACAATGTCGCAGACTCTCTACCTCTCACTTAGAGCAGCATCCCCAAACTACTCGACTCATCGAAGGAGCTTTACAAAGGATTGGTGTCTGACCAGACGGGACTCTCACCCTCTATGGCGTCCCGTTCTAGGGAACACGGAAGGCCCCCCAGATCGCAACGTGCCTGGGGGCCTACCAATGAGAAAAAGGAACCCCCATTTCCCACAGTGGGCACATTTGGTACCGGATATCCCAGATACCGCCCCAAACGTGCCTACTGTGGAAAATGGGGGCACCGACCAGAGCAGTGCTGGCACAAGCCTGCGGCCTGTAAGTTTTTCGGAGTCTCTGATTCTTGCTACGAATTTTCAGCTAATATTATTTTGCAGCCGCCATAATAAACCATATCAACATGGTGGCGGGGTCACCGTTTGCATCACTGGCCCTGTAAGTAAATATACAATTCGTAATCCGTTATCACAAGTATATTGGGAAATACCACTGAAAGCTTCCAGGAGGGAACGACCAGCCGGGTCAAGAAGACCCGGCGTGGGAAGAAGAAGAAGGCGGCCTCGGGGGGGTCGACCAAAGAGAGCAAGCCCGAGAATAGTTCGGGGGGGGGGGGCGACCAGAGAGCGGTTGATATCAGTTTTTTGTTTTCCTTTTTTTTTCTTCTTCCAAAAACACAATAATAATTAATTACTCAATCAAGACGATTTTGTTCTGTTCTTCAATGTCCACGAGCGATCCCCAGCACAAATTTCTCGAAAGAAGTTTGACGAAAGGTACTAACACAACACAGAGGGCCAACTATCCACGATATTTCGCCTGAGGCAGCAAAGCCTTTGTATTGCTGTATCTTCCACCCCCTGGAAGAAGACCAACAAAGCCCACTGAAAGCGCTAAGCCCCCGTGCCGCGTGCCTATTACAGCGTCGCCGAACGCCACGTACTACCTATGAATCATCCACTACTCCGAGCTAGGGACCGGGTTGTTCGCTGTAGCTGATCTTATGGCTCCGGGATCACACGCCATCATGTCCGCATGCATGCAGGTGCTTCTTTGTTGCCGCATGCAATGCTAGACATCCACCTAACCATTTATCTTTCATCTCTGCCAACGTCAGCTTTGTGTTTTTCCTCAACCACAGGATGAACCCATTTTTGCGCCGACAGAAATAACAAGACGATAGACCTGCCGATGGCGACTGAGGCATTGGAGCCGCTCCGAGGCCTTATCCACCGAGTCAGAGGCGCGGTCTCTAGAACAAGGAACGGTGGTGAGACAAACGGCTTGGAAATCGTGCGCAATCCCGAAAATGCTGAGATCGAGTGAGTTTTCCCCTGTAGAGCGCCTGTAATTGACAACATGGCGCTTACTCTTGATTAGTATCGTGGCCGTCCATGGCCTTGGCGGCGAGGGCTTCCGCTCCTGGATCACCTGGGAACCCAGGACGAGACCGAAGTCATGGCTCGAGGAACTGCTGGCTAAAGATATTCCCAACGCTCGCATTATGACTTATGGGTACATTTCAGACGGTGTCAACTATCGTTACCTTGTTCGCAACGTTCTGTATGGTCGTGCCTTGGACATGGTGAAGGCGCTGGCTGCGCAGCGCACTCGCGATGGCTCATCCCAACGGCCGCTCTTCTTCATCGCCCATAGTCTCGGAGGGTGGATTGTCAAGCGTGCACTCATCATCTCTAGCGAAGCCATAGACACGCACCTCAAAAACGTCGAGTTGTCTACCTGTGGTGTTGCCTTCTTCGGTACGCTTTCCCCAGGTCGCCCGTCGTCACCCTCGCCACTGGCCAGCGTCATCCACCGTACCACGTCGGGACTGGAGGGTGATGCCCGCAGCTCGCGCAGTCTACGGAGATCTAGATCCCGCAGCTTCACGATGCAGCCCCAGCCCCAACCTAGCGATATCGAGTGGCTGGAGAACCAGATGGAGGCCTTCAAGGCCATCACCGCGAACCTACCGAGGCTGTCATTCCATGAGACGAAACAATCAAGTGATGGTTTCATCGTGGACAAGCGCCATTCGATGCAAGGGTCTGACGGTATCCAGATCGGGCTGACGGCGACGCATTCTGACTTGGTCAAGTTCCAAGGGCGTGATTCCAACTACGAAACCTTCATTTCGAGCTTCCGTGAGATGATTGATACACGTCGGTCCTCACTTGTCATGGAGGCAAAACGGAAGACTTTTGACATGACGGCTGGTATGTGTAATATTGTGCGACCAAACTCGAATTCATACTAACATATTTTTACCTAGTCCACCATTTGGAATACCTGTCGGCCGGTTTTGCTGTCCCCTATAAACTCCCAAATGACCCAAGCATCATCATTCAGAGAGAAGAGCTTCTTAGTAGTCTAAGGAGGATTCTGAAGCCCGCAGCAGAACCCCACAAGATGCACTTTGCTATTGCAAACTTATGGGGTCTTCCGGGGACGGGCAAGACCACATTGGCTAGGTCGTATGCTGAGAGGCACAAGGATGAATTTTCTTTCGTCTTTTGGATCCGGGCCGACAGCTGGGAGACAGTTATTGCGAGCTACCTCGAGTTTGCTGACGCCTTGGTTGACTACTACAGCCAAAATGCCCCAAGAGACCAGATAGAGAACGATCTCGGCCTAACTGGCGTTGAAGATATGCTCAAGGTCAAGAGTATCCTGCAGATAGATACTGTCCGAGCCACATCGGTCGTAAGAGCTGTCAAGGATTGGCTTCTCAGACCAGAGAACGAGAAGTGGTTGCTTATATTCGACAATGTGGAGCCCTCATACGACATCTTTGACTTTATCCCGCTCACCCTCTCGGGTCAAATCATATTAACATCGAGAGATAGTAACTGCTGCTCATGGGGAACTAGACTCGCAGTCACAAATATGAATGATAATGAGGGTGTAGAGTTGATTGGCTCAGTGCTTGGAGAGTATGTGTTGGAAGAGCCAGAACAAGGTATGCTGCCAACGATAAAACATCTGTTTGAAGACAAGCGCTTACATACCGTAGCTGAGGCTGCTCTCCAAATTGTCCAGCGCTTGCAATATCATCCTCAGAGCATAGCTATGGCTGCTTCCACCATTCGACAGACAAATTCTACAATTGTAGACTTCGAGATGAAAATGGAATCAAGAGTACCTTTGCATCTGCTTGGATCGACTATTGACCAGTCGCCGGTCTCAAGAACGATT